GTTTGGGCTTTGTTTTACTTTCTCCTCTCCAGGATCATGGAGTTTCTGCCGCCGTTCCAGCGTGTGGTGCAGCCCGAAGAGCTGTGGCTGTATAAAAACCCCTACGTGGAGGCGGATCATGTACCCACGGTGCCCATGTTTGTAAGTTGGGCGGTTTCCTGCATTTACTTCGGTTTTTCTCTGATTATAAACTGTCCTTTTGAAGCAAAGCTGCTAGCTGAAAGACTTGGGTTGTGAATACCTGTAGTTGTCAATGAGTGTCACCGAAAGTGCAATATGTTATTGCAAACGACGTGGCGTTTGCAGTCAGATTTGTCATCTTTTTAGGCGTTACCGTCCAGGGTCCTTAAGTTTACAAAAACTCGCGGGGACCTTTCCTTCTTGTTCGTAATCCGTTTCACATCCAGATTACCGGGACCACGGAGGGCAGCATCTCTCTTGCTGTCAGGGAACGTTTTCATAGAATTACTCAAGTTGGAAAAGACCTTTGAGATCATCGAGTCCAACCATCAGCCCTCCTGTATCAAGCACACCCCTAAGCCATGTCTCCAAGCAGCACATCTAAATGGCCTTTAAACGCATGAAGGGATGGTGACTCAACCACCTCCCTGGGCAGCCTGTTCCAATGCCTGGCAACCCCTTCAGTGAACAAATTTCATCGTGATGTCAAGCCTAAACCTACCCTGGTGCAGCTTGAGTCTGTTCCCTCTTGTTCTATCATTAATCACCTGTGAGAAGAGACCAGCACCTACCTTCCTACAATGTCCTCTCAAGTAGTTGTTGAGATCAATAAGTCTCCTCAGCCTCCTTTTCTTAAGGCTAAACAGCCCCAGTTCCCTCAGCTGCTCTTCATAAGACTTATTCTCTAGGCCCTTCACCAGCTTTGTGCCCTTCTCTGCGCTCTCTCCAGCACCTCAGTGTCCTTCTTGTATTGAGGTGCCCAAAACTGCCCACAGTACTCGAGGTGCAGCCTCACCAGTGCCCAGTACAGGGGGACGATCCCCTCCCCGCTCCTGCTGGCCACACCATCGCTGGTACAGGCCAGGATGCCGTTGGCTGTTTCGGCCTCCTGGGCACACTGCTGACCCCTGTTCAGACGCTTGTCAGTCAGCACCCCCAGGTCCTTTCCTGCCGGGCAGCTCTCCAGCCGCTGCTCCCCAGCCTGCAGCGCTGCGTGGGGTCGTTGTGGCCCAAGGGCAGGACCCGGCACTCGGCCCTGTTGCAGCTCACCCAGTTGGCCTCAGCCCCTCGATCCAGCCTGTCCAGGTCCCTCTGCAGGGCCTTCCTGCCCTCAAGCAGATCAAGACTCCCACCTATCTTGGTGTCTTCTGCAAGCTTACTGAGGGTGCATTCTGTCCCTTCGTCGAGATCATTGGTCAATACAGGGTTAAACAGGAGCGGGGGCCCCAGCACTGACCCCTGCAGAACACCCCTTGTGACCGGCCGCCAGCTGGATTTACTTCCATTGATCACCACTCTGGGCCTGGCCGTCCAGCCAGTGTTTTACCAGCAGAGCATGGGCTCATCCAAGCCATGAGCAGACAGTTTCTTCATTAGAATCCTGTGGGAAGCGGTGTGGAAAGCTTTACGGAGGTCGAGGTAAACGACATCCACCGCCTTTCCCTCATCCATCAGGCGGGTCATCTTGTCGTTCAAGTTTTGCTTGAAAGCAGTTATTTTCAGCAAAGGGTTACTATAATTTTATTCTGAAAATGTTTTCCCTCGGTCTCTAGGCTCCGTGAAAAGGGTTTAATATAAAACCATGTTGGGTTTCAGGTAGCTGATAGTCTGTTGAAGGGGTTGTCCCCTCCTCTGAAGCAGGGGTGTTTCGGTGAGATGCTGTGGCTCCTGTGTTGGGCAGGCACCTGCTTCCTTAGCAAATAGCACTTAAGATTTTCCGCGAGAGGTGGGCACTGAAGGGCAAAACCTTGGTGTAACGTTTGCATTTGGCAGTGTAAAGCACGACATATGCCAGACTTCAGGTGGCAGCAGACTCCTTGGGAGCCTGTCGCACACACCGTGGACATCCCGGGGTGGAATCCTGCAGCGGCCGTCGCTGTTGGGATGTTGTGAACGTAACTGGGTTTCTCTGAATCAGCAGCTCCCGTATTTTTTGCTGATGCGCGGCATGGGTGCTGCTGACAAAGAGCTAATCCTTGTGCTTGCAGGGATGGGGAGAGTTGAGGTGCTGTGGCTGACCCTGTGAAGGGACACCCGCAAGCAGGAGAGGAGGGAGCTGCAGGCGGGAGTGACGTGAAGCCAGCCAAAGCAGTGCTTTCGTGCCAGAGGTGCTGTTGGAGAGCCCGAGGTCGTGCTGGGCTTTTCTCAGAGAAGAGAAAGCTCCGCTGCTCTGCTGAGTGGGTGAAGCACGGGAAGGAGCGGGATGCAGAGAGGGGCTCTTCAGTGCGCCGCGTTGTTTGTGCTGCCTGGGGTTTTCCTCACGCTTTGGTAACGCCCAGAGCCCGTGTGCTTTTGTACGTGAGGAGCTGCCGCTGGACGGCCAACGGGAGGAACAGCCGCGCTCGGGGAGCACAGGGTCAGTCAGGGTTTGCTGCGAGTACGGCCGGGGCTGGTTTTGCTCTCTGATGGAAGTGGAGCGTTGGGAGAGGAGAGGTTGCTGCTTGGCTTTGGGGAAGGAAAGCGTGGTCTCCTTGAGCAGTTGCTGTTGTGCTCTGCTGAGAGTGCTTCAGTCTGCTTCGCGGGCAGACACCTAACCGTCTTCTCGCTCTGCGGCAGTTCATCTCGTTTCTGTCTCCCTTGTTGCTCATCGTCCTGGCGAGGGTGTTCATGAATGCCGACCGAGAAGACACGCGGGAAGCCTGCCTAGGTGAGCTGCTCCTTACCCCAGAGAGCTGCACCCCCTCGAGGGGTCTGCCCTGGTGCTGCGGCTGTGAGCCGGGGGTCTTGCAGATGGGTCCTTTGCTCTTGCTGGGGCACAAGCGTCGTGCCGGGGCTATGGCTGGGTGGCTCCAGCTGAAGTTTGAGCGCTGCCTGTGCCTGAAATGTGCCTTGAAGCTGCACATTCAGGTGGGGATGATGCTGATGCGACCTCTCTGCTCTCTCCTAGCTGCCAGCCTTGCTCTCGCCCTGAATGGGGTTTTTACGAACGCCCTGAAGCTCATTGTGGGGAGGTGAGAAACTGGCTCATTCCTGACTGCGGGGAGGGGAGGCCTGTCTGCACAGTGCCAGAGCTACAGTAGTAGGAGCAAGGGCCAGAAGCTGGAGTTGGACACGCTTGGCCTGTAAAGAATGTGCTTTTTTTAGCTGTAAAGACAATTAAATATTAGAACAAACACTGGCGGGGATCTCTGGGCGTCATTTAGATGGGCTTGTTCGGACCTGTGCCGGGGAGGAGGGCTTTGGCACACGTACAGGGAGCGGTGGGATGGTGTTATCTCCCCGGGCTGTGTGGTCACGGTGGCAACCATTTCCCTGTGCCAGCCCATAGCCTGAGAAGTTTGCTCCGCTGTGCAGCCGGGGCACGTCAAGGCCCCGTGCTCAGGTGTGCGTCTCTCGCCGCCTTCCCCGTGCTCGAGGGAGGGAGCTGCGCGAGGGGCTGGGGGGTGCTCCGTGGGAGGGCTGGGTGCTCAGAGGTCTCCCGAGCGCTGTGCTGGGGGAGCTGCACGCCCGAGGGCTGTGTGCCTTGTCCTCTGCCCTAGGCCACGGCCAGACTTCTTCTATCGGTGCTTCCCGGACGGACGAGCGAACGCGGAGCTGGTCTGCACAGGCGACCCTGGCGTAGTGACTGAGGGACGCAAAAGCTTCCCCAGCGGGCATGCCTCGTGTAAGTTTTCCACGTCCCTACCCACTGCAGCCGCAGGCATCGGACCGTGGTGAGCAGAAGCCCGTGGGAGGGCAGCTTGGCCTTGCTTTCCTGCGCCCCGCAGCTTTGGCTGCTTTCATTGGCCTGTTGGGAGGCCTCGGCTTTCCCTCTGCAAAGAGTGAGGTGACAAATGTGAGCTGAAGCTGTCTGTAGCTCCTGGGGTGAGGGATGCTTGAAAGTACCAGCTCCTGTGGCTCCTCCATCGCTCACGAGGTTGTGCTTGCGTGGCCGGACAGACGTCCTCTTGCAGCCCTCCCACCGCCGCAGGGGACGGGGTGAAGGTCTGGCCGAGGGCCCACGGCGGAGCCCAGAGCCGTTTCTGAAGCGACGCGTTTCTCTTTCAGTCGCCTTCGCTGGACTCGCCTTCTCCGCCTTCTACATAGCTGGGAAGCTGCGCTGCTTCACTCCCGGCCGGGGAGGCAGGGCTGTGCGGCTCTGTGCCTT